AAGCCAGCGGTGGTGGCGGAGCAGTGCGGCGGCGACCCTAGCGACGGGAAACGGCGGCCGGAGTTCGCCGGAGTGTGGCGGCGCGCGGGAGCGGCGTGGGGAGAGCGAGGGAGAGAGTGCCGGGCCCGGGAAACAAGGGGAAATGGACGAGGGGAGCACGGGGGTGCTTTTTATGGGCTCGGGAAGGCGGGATCGAGGCCGGACGTGGCGGAATCGGCCGGCGAAGTGGGGCGCCGACGTGGGGTGGTGGAGGGGTTAACCGGCGCCGATTTTCGCGGGGAGAGTGGGGGGGAAAAGGTGGAGGAGGTGGAGGGGATCAATTTCACGCGCTCGTGGGGCGGGGTGGAGCGCGGGAGCCGCGGCGTCGTGGGGCGAAACCGGCGGCCATGGCGGCAGTTGGGGCGACGGGAGGTTGGGGAAGAAGATGACAGGTGGGGCCTCAGGTCCCACCTGTCGGGGAGAGAGAGGGGAAAACGGGCGAGGGAGGTAAAGCAGACTTGAGGGAGGAGGCCGGCCCGAGAGGGAGAGAAAAGGGGCGCGCGGGCCGCGGGAGAGAAGGAAGACTTGGGCCGAAAAGGGGCCCAAAGAGAGGAAGGAGGATTTTATTTGTTTTCTTTTTATTTTAATTGATGCAATGATCTTTGTGCTATTAAAACTATTTCTCGAGCTCCGAAAATTCACAGGAAAATTCCGGAGAGTACATTAGGGCACAAAGAATATTACAAAATATTTCCGGCCAATAAATTTTAAAGGGAAAATTTTAATTCTCCCAATAATTCACTTGATTAAGTTGATTTAACTTTTATTTAATTTCTAGAAGATGTATTATTAATTGATTTTTATTCCCGAACGAAAATCGGGGCGTTACAACAGGGACCCTCTCCAGCTCTATAATAGAAGAAACTTATCATCTTATACACATTGCAGCAAGGGATCTAGATAAGAACATAGGAATAGGGTGTTACGCTTCCGAGTAGTCCAAACCCATATAAACCACATGTCTCCCTCTGATTCTCACGTAAAAGAACTTTTGTGCATACCTACACCCTGGCCGAATCAAAAAGAGGAGTATCACTACTCCCCGCTATTCACAACCCCCTCTACACACAACATCAACTATTCGCAGTGCACTTATAATTGGTATAAGAGCTTTTAAGCTCTCCAATTGATCTTTCACATGGCACTATAATATAAGTTGTCAATCTTTTTCAGAATTTTTCATGATAAAGAAAAAATTTAGCCAAGTGCATTGAAGTGGTGGGGGAGGGGGGGGGGGGGGCTCCCGCAGCCCATTGGCATGAAGGCCACAAAAAGCACACATCCCAGAACCAAGCCAAAGACAGGCAGACACCAAAACAGATGTCACGCCCGGAAATTCACTAGTAATTTCCGAACTTATTTGTGCATAAAATCCTCGTCCAGGAATCAGCCGAGGTACACAAACTGACAATTTAATATACAGATTCATCAATAACTAAAGCGAATAAATACTTACTTAAGAGGCACTTAGTCCTCAACATGAAGAAAACTGCAGCGGAAAATAAAATCTAGCGAAGCTCCAGCTCCACTCCCACAGGCAGCTCAACTGGGGTATAAGCCAAACGTCTTCTCCTTCTGGATCCTTTTTCTTCAACTGAGGTTGATTGATTATTGCAAGGTGAGCATATGACATACTCAGCAAGCCACACAGCAAATATGCAAGTGCACAAGGATACCAAAGGATGGCATAATATTGGCTCATTTGCAAAAGCAGCATTTAGCAAAACATTTAAGAGAAGTAAAACAGTGGAGTAATTCATCAGGAATTTTAATCAACACTGAACAGCACACCCATGCTGCACAGGCCCAACCATCCTGAACAACCATACCCGGCTGTACAGATCTAATCTCCAAACCAGGAGCTAAGCAAATTATTATCAGGTATAACATCCATAATTATTGTGAGAGGTGTGGGACTAATCACGAAAAACATTGCTCAACTCGCCCATAACCGCGGGCACGGCTATTCGAATAGTTTTACTCTGGCCAGAGGTGTACCACTGTACCCACAAGACACAGCCTCAACATCATGTCTACCATGCGTCGCGATACTGGAAAGTACCCGAATAGAGGCTGTGACAATACCCTCTGCATAACACAACTCACCACAGTGCACCATTCCTGGATCATAATCACCCCCTTATAAAACAAGGCATGGACTCTCCAGCGACCCCCGTGGGCTTATCTCCGCCACTTCTCAGTCTGGTGCTCCGCAATGAATCATGTTATACAAAAGGTAAAGCCGTTGCCCACGCTGGCTTGTGGTTGGCACGGTTAATGTTTCACAACAGTAGCTCGCGAACCGGTCCTTAATTGTCATAAGCACGACTCTCAAAACCATGTGCTCACAACCCACCATTATCAAGTTTTAGTTGGCAAGTAATTAATTAACCAATCACGATTGACCATCGTGAGCTACCATTAAACATAACCATAAGTGATAGTGAAACATTAGTTATCCCAATTGTGTGCTAATGTTTCTAAGCATGGCTAAGCGATCACATCTAATATCTAGCTGAACCAATATATAAAGCTCAACTAGTCAAATTATAATAACCCAAGGTATCAAGGATTAAAGTAATCAATGCAAACAGGCCATAACAAAGGAATAGGTTCACACCACCCAGTGACATTCGAAAATAAATGCACAGTTGAAATAAATAGAGAATTTAAATATAGGATCAACATGCTCAAAGGATTGTGTTTAGGATCTGTGTGACTTGCCTTGCAATAATCGGTCTTCAATTAATCTTCTTGAATACTTCCGGCGCACTCGCGAACCTTCGCAACGACGGAAACGACAAGCTATCACGCAAAACGAGGAAAAAGACTAATAAAAACCAAATAAACAATACATAAAAAGTAAACAAACATGTAGATCATATTTTTAGATGAATTATGAGACTTGAACGGCCTCATTCTGACTTCAAATGAATTTATTATAAATTTTACAAGATTAAATCTAATTAAAGCCCATTTAAAAAGAATTAAATAAATTTAATTCAATTTATGGACAATTTTAATATGTAGATCTTTATTTTATACAACTTTTGCAACTTGAACCACATTAAACTGAGTTAAGATGAATTAGTTATGAATTTTTAAAGATTAAATCGGATTAAAACCTTTATATAGATTTTAATTGAATTATGACGCAATAATGAATTATTTTTGAAAAGGAAAAGAAGGATTATTGCGTCAGCGGCTAGGGTTTCGGTGGACCGGGCGCACGGGCGACGGTTCACGGGAACAGACGGCCGAGATCAACCCTATCCAAAACGGACGGCTGAGATCGATCGGTCCACGACCGGCTCACGGAAGAAGGGACGATGACGCCAGCGATGACGTCACTGACAGCGGCGGCGGCTCGGCGGAGCGGACAGCTCGGGCGGCGCACGCTCGCCGGCGAACGGCGGCACTTCGGCACAAACGGAGGGCACCAGCACGTAGAGGACGACGCGGCGAACTCACCGGTGACCAAAACGGCGGCGGAAGACCAACGGACGGCGGCGGCGACGAGGAGGAAGCGGCGAAGCTCTTCGGGTCGACGACGGCGACGGCGCTCCGACGGTCTTCGGCGGCGGCGAAACGGTGGACGGGGACGGCGATGACTTGGCGAACCCGATGGTGGCGACGGCGACCGACGACGGCGACTGCAACGGCGGCGCGGCGCGGCTGAACCGACGGCAACGACGGCGGCGACTAGGGCTACGCGGAGGCGGCGCTAGACGCGACGGCAGGCTAAGGCAAAGGAGGCGACGGGTAGAGGGGAGGCGGCGGCAAAGGCCCACGGCGGCCGGCGACGAGAAGGAAAGCTCGCGGCTTGAAGGAAAGAGGCCGATCCGAATCGAACTCTATTCCACGAACTTCCAAAACGATTTAGCCGATGTTTCCAAAGGAGAAAAGGTAGAGGAGATCCCGGAGATTGTTTCCCCTCAATCAATTCGGCCGGAGAAGGAAAGGAGCGGCCGGATTTGGAAGGAAACGGCGACGGCGGCGCGCTAGGGTTTCGGGCGGCAGCAGCGGCTCGAGGAAGACGAACCTGACAAGTGGGGCCCACCTGTCAGCGGCTGAGAGAGAGAGGAGAGCGGCGGCTCGGCGGACTGGGCCGGCTGGGCCGAGGGAAAGAGAGAGAGAGGTTTTGGGCCGACTTTCGGCCCAAAGCCAAAAGAAGACTTTTTAAAACCTTTTTCAATTAAATTATTTCTTAAATGCAATTCCATTTATTAAAAATACTTCCTTAGCTCAAATAAATCCCAGAAAAATCTAGGAATTATAGAATTAAGCAAAGTATTTAATGAAATTTTATCTGGCCCCTTTTTATATTGAGATTTAGCAAATTAAAATTAGATCTTCTCTTTTAGGCTTTTAAAATCATTTCTAATAATTCCTTTTAAACAACAATTTATAAGTTAAGGATTTTTAAACAAGAAAAGCTCTTAACAATTATACTTAGATCATTAATGATCAAATAATTACTAAACTGTTCTTTGTATTATTTAAGAATTGAGCTCTGAAAAAATCCGAGAAAATTTCAGAGAGTTGACTTAACCATGGAGAATTTAACAAAAATTAAATCCATCCATGCTTTAGATTTAAGAAATTTCATTTCCCACATTTTACTTCACTTGAAAATTAAAGATCATTTAATATAAATTCTATTAATAATTTATTAAATAATTTATAAATCCTGAAACGAAAATCAGGATGTGACAACAGAACATCAACATTGTCAGGAAGATCATCGAAATTCATATTCTCACGCTTTTATGATCACTGAAAATCATATTTTCACGCTTTTATGATCACTGAAAATCATATTTTCATTGCATGACCCTTAAAAAAGTATTCAACCCACTCGTCATCTCGAAGGCCTCATAGTAATTTAGCATTAATACATGAATTAAAAGAGTTGTTATCTAAGAAAGGTTAAGATTTTCTTTACCTGTAGTAGCGTTCAGAACAAAGAAACATGCCATAGGGATAGGCTCTGGCGGTGGCCGGGCGACCGGGAGACGCTGACCGATCCTCAACCTCTGAATTGGCTATGGATGGAGTCCTTCTCCAATCTGCTATGGAAGTCTGCAGGGGCTACGCCTGCTATCCGGTTGAGCCGGGAGGAATCAGGATCTGATACGAGATTGAACTCTGCCCTTGGGTTCTTCGTGTTCTTTCTGAGAACTATATGCAACTCTTGGAAAGATATACATGGGCCTGAAGGATTTAGCCCTTCTTTTGAAGTCCGAATCAAACTTGATGTACCTCAGATTGGTAACCTAAGGTTGTTTTGGAGTTATGATTGGTGGAGATCGGATTGGTCTGATATCGTGCGGGTAAGGGACTTGTTGCTGAAACTCTTTTTAAGGGACGGATCGGTGGTGCGGCAAACGCAGGTTGCAATCTCCCAGAAGCCAAGTTCTCTAGATCGATTCTCTGTTCGTCCTCAAGGTTTCGGTTCTACTTCAATGGTGTCCGCAGGCGGTGGGGGTGACAAAGGGATCATCAAGGCGATGATTACCCACCCGAAGCCGTCTGAGGAGGCTCTGATTGTGCCGACGAACAAATCCTTAGTTCTGCAGGATTCGATGGTGAGAACAGATTTGCCACCCGGAGCAAAAGTGGATCCCAAAGTGAAGACTATTGTGCAGAGATTGTTGTCAACGTTAGAGCATGAAGGGGCTAGATCCCAATCCTAGCCACAGGGACTAGAGGCCTTTACATAAGGGGAAATTGAAGGGGAAGAAGATAAGGTGGTTGAAGTGAATATTGAGGAAGAGGAGTTGAAGCAGGCAGGGCAGTGAACAATGTTGGCTCGTTTCTACTCTCTTAAAGTGCCGAAACAGAGTGCTCTCTTTGATGACATGGGTCGAGCGTGGAGGCTGCGGTCTGATATGAGCTATAAGTCCCTACGTGATAACCTGTTTATCATTACATTCAGCACGGAAGGGGATTATAACTTTGTTCTCCAAGGGGGGGGGGTCCCTGGCTACACAAAGGAGATGCTTTATTGGTAGCTGCTTTTCCTGACATGCCCCTCAAAAGTTCCATTGGAAGTGGTTCCTATATGGATCAGAATATACGATCTTCCGTTAGCCCTGATGATAAAAGCTAGAGGTCAGTTGTATGGCAGTCGGTTTGGTCATGTGAGGAAGGTTGATGTGGAAGAGGATGGTCGCAATAGGCATGATTTCTTCCGTATTCGTGTGGACTTGCCAGTGAAGAAGCCTTTGAAATCCAAGCTAGCAATAAAAATCAATGCCCAGGGCACTGAAGTAGTCATACGGTTCGATGTTCGTTACAAGTGGATTCCATACTTTTGCTTCTGCTGTGGTTTTATTGGACACTCGGATAAGGATTGTGAGAAAAAGGTTGCTAACAGTGATGCCCCCTACCAGTTCTCTGAAGAATTGCGGTGCTCCTTGCTGAAGGCATATGAGAGGAAGGTTAGCAAAGTCAAAGCAACGCATTCTACCATTGTACCTCGTAAGCTAGTTTTTCGGGGTGCAGGGAGTGCAAACTCCTCTTCGTCCAGGAATGCTCAGGAGGAGAAGTGGGATGAGGCTATCCCACCAAGGGTGGATGCACACGATGGGTTTGATACCAGGGAGGAAGCGGGGGATGAACGGGTTGATGATCAGTTGGCTAGCCAGGCAAATAAGCTTTCTGTTTCTGGCAAATCTCAGGGATAGCCTGTACAGGTGAAGGATCCAAAGGATATCACGGTTTCTGCTAGTAGTCTGAAAGGAGATATGATTCCTGCAATTGCGAATCTACATCAACCTGCATCCTTTTGGGAGACGTGGGCAGAAGATACAACCAGTATACTCAAGAGAAGAACTCCAGACCTAGTAGCAATCAAGGAAACAGGAAGAGTTAAGCAGGCTCTTCTTCAATTTGGGCAGGAGGATACAGCCTCTAGGAAGGATCAAGCTGAACCCAGCCTTCAAGGGAGGCAGCTTAAGCGTTTCAAGCAGGTTGATACAGATAAGCAGGATTTGGAGGATATGGAAGCAACCAGCCCCGGGGTTGTTGGTAAATTGGTGGGTCCTACGATGGGATCCCGCCAGGAGCAATGAGTTGCTTAAGTTGGAACTGTCGTGGTATCGGGAACGCCACGACAGTTCGAGATCTGTGTGCCTTGGCTCGCGAGGCAGGATCTAAGCTTGTGTTCCTTTGTGAGACCAGACAGAAAGTTGATAAGATGCGTCGTATTCGTAATAAGATAGGTTTAAGGGGGTTTTGCTGGAGTTGATTGTGAGGGTTTAAGTGGTGGTTTGGCTCTGTTTTGGGATGAATCGTTTCATGTGGAAATAAAAGATATGAATGAAAGATATATTGATGCGTATGTGCGCTTGTCTGTGGATGATCCTTTGTGGCATGTTACATTTGTGTATGGTGAAACTAAAGTAGAGAACAGGCACCGGATGTGGTCATTATTGAATTTGCTAAGACAGTCATCCAATCTTCCCTGGCTGGTTATGGGTGATTTCAATGAAACCTTGTGGCAATTTGAACATATGTCCAGGAGACAAAGGAGTGAACCCCAGATGCATAGTGTCAGGGTTATGGATACCACATACCTAATACCTTCAAACCGCCATGTCGACAACAGTTAGATAGGCTACCCCACATATTGTACTGGTGTGATTATGGTGAATAAGAGCAATACCGGCTCCGGCCAACAGGATGTAGGGTTATTACCTGACAATTCAGGGGCCCGAACCTGTATAAAAATCCTCGTCTCCATCTCTTTTACCTCAGTCTCGCATATATCTTAGCACCGACGATCCCCATACTATTCAAATACCATAATTGCGACATCAAACGTCGACAGTGGCGCGCCAGGTAGGGGGATTTTGGTGCTTCAGGGTTTCGAGGAGATGGGTTTAAGAGATGGATTCTCCAATAACAAGCTACTCAACGACTTCGGCTGTGGAGATCTAACCTGACCAGAGCATGTCTTCCGACGAGATTGGAACCATTATCGTCATCGACAACTTGGTCTATCAAGATCACCCAAGCCTCAAGATACGCGGTGTACCAAAAGATGTCAGATCATATGATGTCGAACGAGTACGCAATAAGGTAATTGGTAGATGGGTTTCTCAAATTGATCTACAAATTCCGTAGATACATCCGGTATGTATCTACAAAGGTACGCAATATTTTATATGCAATTTATCGTACCTATTCAGATGATACAACATTGTCAGATCTATAATTTATTATGTTTACCTAGAGCATGTTTTTTATACAATATCTATTGTGCGAGTGTTTCCGATGTTAAGCCGACTACGGTCTAACACTGGGGGCTCGCTCTGTTTTTGTCTGTATAAATCATGTTTGTTTACGGTTTACATAATGCCTGATATTTACATCTGCTTGTTGTCTCCTGATAAGACTAGAAGATTCATGCAGTTTTTCAAATACATACTCGATATTATCTACTATATGTCTTGCCTTCTAGAAAATAATTTTCAGGAACAATTGAGCATTCGAGTAGGTTGTGGTCGAGTACACTCCATTATCGAGAACATTCTTGACAAATGCGGAGTCATCGCACCCAACCTACCAACAAAGACCGACGACCTATCTCACAGCACCAGCCATGGCTGGACTACTCGAGAAAAGGTTGTCAACGGATAATTCCTCGCGAACGTCGTCGGCTTGATCACCCGACATGATTGCGAACGGACATCCGGATATGCTATAAGTTGGGTATGTGAGTCATGCTGGCCACATGAGATACACATGTAATAAACCAACTCTAGCACTTTCATTGGTGTTCGAGAGATAATTCTACTCGCTCACTGGTCCTCGCACCAGTACGTAGCAATCTCTCGCACCGCAACTTCCATTGGTGTTCGAGAGATAATTCTACTCGTTCGCTGGTCCTCGCACCAGTACGTAGCAATCTCTCGCACCGCAACTTCCGTTGGTGTTCGAGAGATAATTATACTCGCTCATTGGTTCTCGCACCAGTACGTAGCAATCTCTCGCACCGCAACTTCCATTGGTGTTCGAGAGATAATTCTACTCGCTCGCTGGTTTTCTCGCACCAGTACGTAGCAATCTCTCACACCGCAAACTTCCATTGGTGTTCGAGAGATAATTCTACTCGCTCGCTGGTTCTCCAACCAGTACGTAGCAATCTCTCACACCGCAAACTTCCATTGGTGTTCGAGAGATAATTCTACTCGCTCGCTGGTTCCCGCACCAGTACGTAGCAATCTCTCACACCGCAAGCTTCCATTGGTGTTCGAGAGATAATTCTACTCACTCGCTGGTTCTCGCACCAGTACATAGCAATCTCTCACACCGCAAACTTCCATTGGTGTTCGAGAGATTATTCTACTCGCTCGCTGGTTCTCCAACCAGTACGTAGCAATCTCTCACACCGCAAACTTCCATTGGTGTTCGAGAGATAACTCTACTCGTTCGTTGGTCCTCGAACCAGTACGTAGCAATCTCTCGCACCGCAACCTCCGTTGGTGGTTGTCACGCCCAGAAATTCCCGAATAGAATTCCAAGCAGAATGTGCATTAAAATCCCCGTCCAGGACCAGCCGGGGTACACAAACGACAATGTTGACATTCAGATCCACGTCTTACAAACATCATAAAAGTCTTACATAAATGCAGCGGAAAGAAAGAAAGACAACAGGAGCTAAGCCTTGACTTGAACTGCAGCGGGAACACCACTCCACAGGCATCCTCGACGGTACGGACAAAGCCTACTCCTCGGAGAAACCTTCATCTGACCCGAACTCGAACTCTGGGGGTTGGGAAAAGAAGAGCAAGACTAAGTACTACCCACTGTACTCAGCAAGTCATACCGGAATAGGGGTATGATGCAGGGAATCATCAAAGAAGAGCTAAAGTGGTTCATTTGCATAAAGCGAGCATTTATAAACAGAGATTGAAAGATTTAAACAGTTGTAATAATTAATTAATATTAACTATCCACTGTCCAACGCTAACCCACGTTGCGACAGAACCAACCATCCACCTAAACTATCCAAATTAAAGGATTACACTAAGGTGAGACTAATCACGGTGAATCTGGTTGACCGCCCATAACCGCGGGCACGGCTATTCGAATAGTTTTACTCTGATCAGAGGTGTACAACTGTACCCACAAGACACAGCCCCACGACACGTTTCCGTGCGCCGACATGTCACCACGACATACCGGAAAGAGGCCGTGACAGGACCATTCGCATAACCCCCTCTAACCAAGCACACCACACCTCAGGTTTCACCCCCACTCCTCGCAAGGCAGCGGGCAGTCCCCTCTCGTGCCTAGGTGAATCCGGAAGCCGCATAGGCCGTCGCAGGGCCCATCCAAACTCCATCACGCCCACCCTTGCCTGGATGCGTCGGCTAGAGAAAAGTTACACTACAAGCCCAGCCGTTGCCCACGCTGGCTTGTGGTAAGTACTATAAGTTCTTCCAGGGCATCCCGCGAACCGGTCCTTAACTGCCATGGGTGCGACCAGCAAAACCATGCACCCACAGCCCACCATGTGATTCATTTTAATTAACCAACACCAGAGCGGTGGTACTAATCCAACATTATCATTAGAACCAACAGTCTAAACATTAATATGATTTTCCCTATTGTGAACTAGTTGAACTAAGCATGGCTAAGCAATTCCTAGTCCAAACTCTAATCATGTTATAACCCCAAGCTAACAAAGGAGCATGATATCCAAAAAGCATGGCTGTAACAATAGGTAACCATCCCATAGTAATATTATAAAACAATGCAATATTTGAAAGAAAACAATAGAGCATTTGCAATATAGGATCAACATGTTCAAGTGACAAGCATGACTTGCCTTGCTCTGCTGCTGGAGGAACCTCGGCGACTATCTCAAAGTACACCGGAGCGTCGAAGGAATCGGAATCTAGCGACATACAAAGCAAACATTGCAAACAGGCTATAAGACTACTGAAACAGGGAACAAAACCATTTTTAATGGATTCTACACATTTTTCTTGATTTACTGAGACTTGAATGGGCTTAAACGGAGCTCAGATGAATTAGTTATGAATTTTAGAAGATTCACTGTGTTTATTACTATAAAAGAAAAACCTTAAATCATTTATTGCGCAATATATTCCAGGGCTGACGTCAGCACGGAGGGGGGGGCGCGGCGCCGACATGCGGGGCCCACTGGTCGCGACACACGGGTGGCCGGTCTACCGTGGACCGGGACCACGCGGGTGATCCACCGCCGGTCCACGGGATCGACGGCCCGGATCGGCCTGGGGCCGATCGGACGGTGCGGCGGCGGCCAGGCTAGGCTCGGCTCGGCACAAAGCCGGCCGACCGGTCACGGCGACGGCGCGCGCACGCGCATGCGCGAACGCGTTGCCGGCGACGCATGCGACCGACGACGGCAGCGACCGGCGGCACGCGAGGCGGCGGCGGTCGAAGGCGACAGCGCGCGACTTGAAGCGGCGGCGCGGCACTAAGAGGAGAGAAAGGGGAAAAGAGGGGAGGGGATGCCTCACCGAGGGTGGCCGGCGCGGAGGAGGACGATGGCGAACGGCGACGGCAAGCCACGGGAGGACGACGTCGGCGAGCGGACGAGTTTCGGGGTGCCCTAAGGAAGGAGAAGAGAGGGATTAGAGAGAGGGAGATGGACCACGGCGACCGGAAACCATGGCCGAAGGCGGCGGTGGAGGTGGTGCTCACCCGAGTGCGAGGGAACGAGGGCTCCGGCGACGAACCTCGACGGAGGAGAGGTGGACGGGGTGGACCTCGGCCACGCGAACCCGACGGCGGCGAAGGCGCGGCCTGGCGGCGACCCTAACGGCGGCTAGCGGCGGCCGGAGTAGCGGAAAAGGCGGCGGCAAGGGGTTGCACGGCGCGGGAGCGATGGGAGGCTCGAGAGAGTGCGGCGAAAAGGGGAAAAAGTGAGAGGGGACGACGGCGATGCTTAAGTAGGGGAAGAGGGAACCGGACGTGGCCGGGAGAGGCGGGAATCGCCGGCCGACGTGGGGAGTGGGGGAGGAGAGAGAGGTGGGATTCGAAAATCGAATCCCGGCCATCTCGGGCGCGGCGCGAGCGGGAGAGAGAGGAGAGTGGGCGCGGGAGACGCGGCGCACGCGCGGGCGTGGTCGACGTGGCCCGGAGGAGGCGGAGACGTGGGCGCGGCGGCGGTTGCGGACGCGACGGCGCGAGCGAGATCGGCGGAAGGTGGGGGAAGGACCCGACAGGTGGGCCCCACCTGTTGGCGACCCCGAGAGAGGAGGCGGCGGGGCGGCCTGGCTGGGCCTCGGCCTGCGGCCGGCCCAGCAAGGAGGAGGGGAGAGGAAGGAGGGAA